CCATAAAATTAAAAAAAGCTTTAGGTACATCAATGAATTTTTACACATTAGCTAGCATCATCTTTTCTATATATAGAATAAACCTTAAATCATAATTTTTATTTTTTGATAATTTGCTAATGTTTTTGTAAGCAATGGTATGTTTAGGCAGCGCAACCTCAAATATGACGTATTTTCTACCTGAGTGTAACTGGAAAAAAAAAACTCTTGTGATATGAGCACTTGTCATTAAAAAATTCCGTAAATTGGGGCATTTGGTACAACACAATTTTTCCGTAAAATTTACAATTTTTACCCTATTCTGTAAATTCTAAGAAATTTAATCGTAAATTTTATATAGAATGTCCAAACAATTAACGACTTGAAAATGACGTCAAAAAAGGGGGAGGATTTTTTTTCTATCATACTATCATTCTATAAAGTTTCGCACCTGGAAAAACTGGTATAGACCAAGGGATTGTTTGAACGGGCTACAGAAAAATAAAATGCATCCAGAGTACTCGTTTTAAATACCTAAAAAGATTCAGAGAGATGAAAGATGCACAGTTACATGTAATGTCGCTTTGTATTCAGGGTGTCAAAAGTCAGTCACATCGAAAAGTGACGTTAATCATGTGTGGTAGAAAATGAACTCCAACAAGCTAAGTATTCTGGCATAAACAAGTGAGAATCTTTCCCTATGTAAAGATCCATTTACAATATCATATGCATTGAAAGCAGCTGTTCATGACATTGTATAGTCATATAAACAAGACGGGCTTAAGTCTTTACTTATAACTCCAGGAAATCTCATCAAGATAAGTGTATGAGGAAGAGAGAGCGGACATTGAGAAACAATTCATTAATATTTCAAAGTACGGGGAGGGGGGAGGTTTAAAAATCGACAAGCAAAATAATTAGAATAATAAATCAAGAAATAAAATAAATTAAAAAAAAACAAATAAATGCGACCGTAGTGTCCAAATCCTATTTTGTTGGGGGGGGGGGGGTCCTCTAACTTTACTGTGCATTTTTGTTTCGTGTCAGCTAGTGTTCGACCTTTCAGAAACAGAAAAAGGGGGGAGTAGCATCAAAATGAAATTTATGTATCTGATATCTAATAAAAAAAAATCTGATATATAAATTACATGTTAAAAGTACAGCGAAAGACTATTTTCAGAAAAAGTGTCTACCCCTTTCTTAATACAGACCTGACCGCTCTGTGTTGCATAGATCGACAATTACACAATTCGTGCGTCTTCAAAATGTTTCTTTTCAGGTCAAACCACAGTACGTACCATATTTATTTAAGGAAGAAGCCCGTTATGCATAAATTATCCAACGTTTCCAACTGTTGTTGATGTCCCTGGCATACTCTACTAACTAGACAGTGATTCCTTATATTTCCATTTCATTGTGAAATAAAATTGTAAATTTAGATTTTAAAAATGTAGACTAATAGATTTAAATTACACGAGGCCTCCCATGTCAATTTCAATAGTCCCCGCCCACTGGCGTCAAACACAAAGACAGCTGCACGAGATTTACAGGCATATTAGGCCTCTTAGCGACAGAGACAAAGACAGACGCACGAGATTTACATGCATACACGTAATAGCGAGCGCAGCGAGCGGCGCGAAGCGCCGCTCGCGAAGCGAGCTCAATAGACTAACGTGTAAGAACAGAGAAAATTCGGAATGAAATCTGTACATACGTCAGGAAAATTTTCTGGTGCAACATTCCCAGAATTCCTTCGCTACCAGGGTTCCATGCGAAATTCTTACAAAACATACAAAAGACCAAGGATAATTATTCATTACCGAGAGATACGTTTACTTTTCTTTCTTTGCAGAGAGCTTAAAAGAAACAAAAAATAATTACATCTACTCTACAACGTATTTCATTTATTATTACATAAGATCTTCAGTCTCGTTCAACCAGACGCTCGGCTGTCTCCGTAAATTCCGACATCATTTGACGTCACAGTATAGACTGTGTCTCGTGCGGTTTGACGTTTGAAGAGGCGGATCAACGTTACAAGTGTAAGCTGCTATAGCATTTTGATGGTACAACTGCGCTCGCCCCAACGGTGACACCGTAAAACATATTAGCGAGCGCAGCGAGCGGCGCGAAGCGCCGCTCGTCACTGCGAGCTCTAACGACAACGCCTGGGCGAAGAGAAAATTCGGACTACTGCACATTCATTCAATAGAATTTTTTTCCGCAGTAATTCTGACCCACAATGCATCGCTTCTTGTTCTCGCTGCTAACTTCGTTCACGCGGTGACAACAACTAAAAATTCACACAAAATAAACTCACCTTAAGTTAATGGATATTGCATGCAGATAGTAGATTAACCCTTTTGCTGCCGTACAGATTTCCAGTTCAAATTACGTACTGTGCCGTGACAGTTTTCTATTACGTTGAATCTATGATGCAACGTAACTGTGACGTCACAAACAATGTACGTAGGTAAAGGTATAAATACTTTTTTTCGTTTTTGCAGAATATCGTTAAAAAGAGACAATTATAATAAACAGATTCTACAACGACAGGCACCTTCGAAAAAAAAAAACATTTATAGAACTCACAAAATTTATGCTAGTGATATTTTTTAGTAGATCTAGTCACAAACCTTGATTTGACATATTTTCCCTATTTAAAAAAATATATAACCCCTTATCCAATTCAGGTGAATTATTAGGTACGGTACTTGTGGATCAAGTGTATACATGTACAACATATACTGAACGCAATACAAGTAAAGTTAAATATATATACAAGTGCAGTGTAATTGAAACACAGTGATACATAAATAACTATTTTTGGCTTTTCGGGATCTACCAGTGAAAGTGTTCTAAAACATAAAATTCTATTGGACTTGAAAAAGGTTAATTTCTGTTCGTAGACCTTATACATATTTTTGAACATAGACCTTACATATTACCACATGTACACACACTTCTTTCCCTGAAACCACTTTTATTATTTTAAAATATTTAAATAATTGTTATGGTTATATTTGTTATATTTGTTCAAATGTTGATCTTTTACTGTCACATTTTTGTAATCGTGTTCTTATAAATTATAACCTGGAATACACCGACTAAGACGTATACGTTACTTCCATGAGTTCGTATATGGCTGAAATATTGCCGACTCGACGTAAAACAATAATAATCAATCAATCAATCTTCGGTGTCTTTACCACCCTTAATCGGCAACTCTGATGCAATACATGGATTGTTTAATTCAATCAAATGAAGAAGCTTAGATTTATAAAACTTATATTTTGTCCTTTTTGTGTTTTTACTACAATTTTTTTTCAACAATATTTATGACTTGTATCAGGCACTTGTTTCTGTAATAATTTTTTAACCCATAGTAAAATAATGTTAATTTTATGCTATGGGTTAAAAAAATATCACAAAAACAAGAACACCTTCAAGGTCCTTAAAAATTAACATTTCATTTGTTAAAACTAAATACCGGTATTCCGTCATGTAACTTACAATGTGCATCTATATATAAGTAGTAATTGGCCTTAAAAAGTATAAAAGTTTTCATTACAAATACGTTTTTCAAACAGAAAGCCTCAAACTACATGTACGATTTTAGGAGAACAAGATCATGCGAAACGTTTTGGCGATCGGCAACTATTAATATGCGATCCTACAACTAAAATAACATAGTAGATACATGACGGACAAGGTCACTACTGTATATAAGCATATTATGATTTTTCACAATTACATTGGAGAGGTGTGGAACCTTTTAAGCAAAGAGAACAGTTAATTTATATATTTATCTACTTCATTTGGAATGCCTCGCCTAGCGTTAGGAAATGAAATAATCTATTACTACTAGTTAATTTAGGGTGGTAGGAAATCAAGATCTCAGGGGTATTTGCGGGGGTGAGGGTGAAGGTCTTGCCCCGATTTCGACCGAAAAGATATTTTGCCTGCCCTATGATTGTTCATACTTCCCATAATTCTTGCATTCATTTAATAACAAAAAATTAATCTGAAAATATCTGACCCCGGCTATTTACCCCCCCCCCCCCCGCCCGCAGTTAAAATCAATGAATCGTGCCTAAAAGAAACCTGTATTGGTCATATGAACAAACAGAATTGACGGAATTGGAGGGGAACTTATAAACATGCAGAGGTTTAATGTCACAGTCGTTTCTTGCAGAAATAAGAGTCGTAATTGCTCAATGGGCATAAGCAGTCTTTTCCGGCAATTGGCGATTTTCTAATTCGAGTGAAACATTCTCGAAGGGACAACAAAAAGGCTAAAAAATGAAAAAAAAATAAATTCAATGTTTCTTTTCCTTAATTATATCTTCATTTTCAACATTTAAACAACAAAACACAAACAATTCTGCCCCCCCCCCCTTTTCGCCGATATACACCCCCGGGCTTGTTGGGAGTCCCCCCCCCCTCCAATTATATTTCTTAGACTTTTTAATCATGTATATCATACACATACACAGACGCAATTTTTTTTTTTTTTGGCGTTCCTTCCAGATTTTTGCAATGGTAAATATAATTCGTTAACATCAAAACTGGGTGTTGTATATTTGGGGAAGAGGGTAGGACCACCCGCAAGTACATGTACATGTGCCACAAAAGAAGACATCTTGATTTTTCTTAATGAAAGTGTCATGCAGTGACTACATGTATTCCAGAATTGAAGGTTTATCTATTGAGTTCTTTGTCTATTTGCCGAATTTCTTTTATTATGCGACATGTAATCCGTTGTAATCTGCATTTCTCTGCATAAATTTGTGATGCTCCTAAGGATAAAACTTTCTATAGTCGGTTAAAAGGCTCTACAAGGCTTACATGTTAAAATGTTAAACTGTATTACATGTATATATAATGCCGATTTTAGATTTTAAAAATATGTTTACAGAAATTACAATCATGATACTGCATTACTAGCAGAGTTGGCGAAGTGTGCCGGATTACCGACGATCGCCGATAGATTTCATGCATGTCCGGCAAAAGTTGAAACCATGCTGGACATCGTGTCCGGTAAATTTTAAAATACCAGTACCTAGAGAAATTAAAGTTATTCCCGTGTTTTAGGTAAAATACCACCGGGAAAAAAATCCCCATGGAACTTTTACGGCATTGTATTGCTTTTATAGTTCAGAAAAGGATTAAAAATATTGATGAAATTGCATAATTTCAAATCAGAATGCATTGTTTACATTTTCTAGAGATCAAGACAAATGAAAAACTATTTCTTATAATTTTCAGTAATAAATTGGTTAAATGATCGATTGTATTCTGCAACAAGAGGCCAAAATGGCGCGAAACTCGGAATGATGACGGAACGTCATAGTCATGCAGTTTCACTTGTGACGTAATGAGTTAACGGTAGGCCCAAAATAGGCCCATGGCACTTAACGTAGTTTTTGAAAATAGGCCCAAAATAGGCCCGCGGCACAAAGAATGTTAAACGTTCTTTGTTAAAATATTTGCACTTTTTAAACTTTGTTTATGGAAATGCAGCTAACATACGACGTCATGTGACGTCACAGTCTAGACGTTCCAAATGTCTCGTGCGGTTTGAAGAGGCGGATCATAATAATGAAGTGAACACTGCGCTCGCCCCAACGGTCGCACCGTCAACATATTAGCTTTTCAAAAAAGCTTGCCTGACTAATCAATCAATATCTATGGAACGTATAAGCAAGAGAGGTGCTTAACGTTTCCGTCATCAAGGAGCGACATAGTTGCGATACTTCATTATACAAGATGTACAATTGAATTTCTCAAATCTCATAACCAAATACTACAGATTGACGAATATCTAAGACAGGCCACTATTCAATCATTTATCAGTTAGCCCACGGGCTGAGAAGTTACGTTGGGATGAAACTCTAAGTGCGATAGCGTAGATTATAATTTTGGGAAAAATAGTTAGATGATTCTAAAGAAATTCATATTACATGTACTCTCTTACTAGAGGGCGCGCTTCTCTGGTCAGTGATAGATTGATGAGACGGCCTCTTTTTATAGACTGGTCTGTTTTCCGTCGTTCTCAACGTCGAAGTAAATTATGAACAGTTTTAACTGCCTTTTCTTGAAGTGTTTGAGACAAAAATGCTTCAATGCTGCTCTAGAACTCAAAGTAAATGGACTGTACACTTTATAGCTAGAGCAAAACAAGATAATAATAACACCCCACCCCCACCCCCCACCCCCGACAAAACTCACGCGCTGATGGTCTTACCATATACATGGACATGTATTATAAATGAGTTTAAAAATACATCTTTATGTGCAGTTTTAAATTTTTTTTTTTCAATCGATTTCAGGGCCTTTCTCATAATTATAATAACGTGCTTTTATATGAAATGAAAACTAATACAGATTGTGATGTCTTCTTCATTTTGCCGATTCTTTGCTTAGAACCTTACGGGAGTTAAGCCCATTCCTCTATGGGTACTGACCTACTCTTGTCAGTTGTCACTATCCTTGTTCATCACAAAGCATGAAATAATATGCTACTGGCTGACTTTCTAAGCTTTTTTAAAAACCTAACCTTGTAACGAACATTATATTATTAATAAATGTAATTTTGAAAGAAAAGGTGGGAAACAGACTGAATCAAGAAGGGATGTCCCATTTACTAGGTCGAAGGAGTTTGTTTATGATTGGACTACATGTAGTTCACTTATGGGGTAAACAGTAAGAATAATCAGCAAATCCATTCCTTTAGTGTTGCCTGCCCATATACAATGTGTTCTCATAAAAATGAGATAAAATTTACTGTTAATAAAAAATCTGAAGCTTAAGAATCAGGTTAAGAGAATAAACGTTATTTATTTCCATAGAAGTTATCACACCCATTCAATAAAACAATCCAAGAAAAAGGCGCGAAGATAATTTACATGTGACATTTGGCGCGAAATGATTGTGTCACCCCTTTTGTAGAAGGCAAATGGACTGATCCAGTAGTTTAGAAACGCAGAAAAAATGTTACACGGGCATGCCCGTACAAAGAATCGCAAAGAATAAACATGTGCATACAAAAAAAAAAAAAAAAACTGAAGGAATTAAACACAACATTATTTTGCATCAGTAATAAGATTCTTTCTTCTGCAAGCTGTATTTGTTTAAATGCAGGTAACAAATTCCAGTGTAAATCAGCTTCCAGAATATCTAGTTCATTAAGAATGATCGCTTAGTTTCGGATCTTGAAAAAAATAATCCTTATACTGCCTGACGCACGTGGCGTCAGACAATTAGGCCTCCTTAGCTCCTGAGCTATCGCTTGGCGAAATTTACATTCCGGGAGAATGATCAAGAAATCAACTCAACTAACTTTCAAAGAGTTATCACAGAGAAAACAAATAGAAGTGGAAAAATTGAAAGTTCAACACAGGGAAAACGGCTCGCAAGATTTTCATGCGTTTTCCTTTTTGCATGAAATTAATGCGAAAATCGTACAAAAATCAAGAAAAGTACCACATGCGAATATGACTCAATTTTCATCAGAAATTTATGCGATTTCATGTAACCATAATTTCGCCTCGAGTCTTTTTTCGCATAAATATCATGCGAATTTCTTTTCGCAAGATATTCCTGCGAATTTCATATGATTTGCCTGACATTTTTGTGCGATTATCATGCGTGTTCCTTTTCGTTCTAATCATCACAAGAATTCGTATAATATTTGTGCAAATTTCATTATAAAGTTAATTTGGTCCACTTCTGCCTGACTACAAACTATCTGGCTGTTAGTAAAGTAAATTCATTGAAAGTCTAGGGTAATAATTAACTGCCATTTGCATGTATGATACCTTGTTTCAGCAATAATAAAAATGGTTGTGTGTTATATTTACACTTTCTCAAACAAAACAAAGCTATTAAATTGATGTTAAATTATGAAGTTATAAACAAAATTGCCTATAAAATGTAATCTGCATTGAGTATTTATTATTTAAATCCATCCTCAGTCCCTTGGTTAATTTTATTTGCTGCGATTGTCTGTGAGTGATTGGCTCTAGGATTGTGGCCAATCAGTGCAGCTGTACACCGCATCGTGTTATATAACGGATAAATATAGCCACAAGACTCAGTTCAGAGTGATGGATTGGAGGGTTGTCTTCGTTTTGATTTCTTCTACATTTATCTGCTTCACATACTGCCAAGGCAAGTTTGATTTATCTTTCTTTTTAAAAAGTCACATTTTGACGATACACTGATGTACGTCTTACTAGATATGGATGCAGTTAGAATATACATGTAGTAATTTCAGCGAACGAAAAGTTAGCCGGGGGAAGTAATTTGAATTATCATTTAGTTAATTTTACTCACTTTTTGTTTATAACATTTCACAAACAAATAAATAACTAACCACGTGAGTTTCGACATAGGGATTAATTCTTAATGAATATAAAGAAGGTATTTGACGCAGAAGTTTCCTTTATTTACACAATTTGCCGATGGCCCTAAATTTTGGAACCATACTTATCAATCAAAAGATCCCTGACCGCATCCAGTTACATGTAATACAAATGTTTGGGTTTTTTTAATTCCTGAAAACAGTGATAGTTTGCTACTTAATGATACATGTACATTTACTCTTTGTACAACTTTATTCTTTTGTTGTTTTTTTTTTTTTAATTTAGTTTCAAAAGATCAGCTGCCACCAAAAATTGCCAGTACTTTTAACAGTGAATATTACTTTCCTATGCTGTCAATACTGACTGATGCTAAGATTGAATGCAATGCCAAAAATGGAAAAATTGAGTAAGTTTGGTGTGGATTTTAAGGTTGACCAAATTTTACAAATATTTTAGATCTCAAAAATACGAGTACATTTATGTCATTTTGGACGAGATTGTACATGTTATTAAAAAATACATTTGGGTTTGGTTTTTTTTTTTTGTTTCGGGTGTTAAAATACTAGTAAATGAATCATTATAATTACAATTAGAAGCATTTCAGTACACAAAAATATGAAAAGAAAATCTTTCTTTACATACCGTGCATGATTTTGTGATAAATGTTTTAGATATGAATGGAAGAAAGATGGCGTGATTGTTCAGAACAGCAAATATGTGTCTGTGGACAAAGATACTGGAACCTTGAAATTTAACCAGATGCAGGGTTCTGATTATGGAACATACCAATGCTTTGCTAAAAATGATTTTGGGACCTCACTTTCTGAGCCCTTTGATGTTAAAGTATCTGGTAAGAAAACAGTCAAAAAGTAACTAAGAACTAATGATTTCAATCGGCCCTAGTATTTTTGCGTCAATAATTTCGTCGCTTAGTTTGTTTGTTTTTTTATTTCAGCCAAGAATGCAGACGTTTTATTTAAAACTTTTCTTCCTCCTTACTTAGATCTAATTATGTATAAAGCTCATAATTTTCCTCATTAATTTACAAGGACATATTTGAAAGCAATTTCATTAAAATTTACATACAAATATATTTCTTGTGACCCTGATGAAATTTTGTCTTGGATTTGATTTAATTTTTTTTATGATTCCTTCACACAATTATAAAGATGGGCGTACTTGCCGTGCGATCTGCAGGAATCACGTGTACAAAACAATTATGGTTTAAATGTCCACGATTTGGTCGGCTGACCAGTAGTGAACAGACCTCACAAAGTTACGCACATAGGAAAATGTTTAGATTTACATTGAACTAGCTTGCAGATTTGAAATATTTTAGTCTACTTATCTCAATAGTTACGATAACACAGTAACACTTCCTATAAATAAACACCTGATAAGATAATAGGGTATGCTATATAAAATAAAGTTTCAGTAGGTTTGAAAAATTGCTTTCGGACCCCGTGCAACTGAACCAAAATTTATCTTTTTTAAATTATTTATATATATATAATAATGATAATAATAAAATTCAACTGATAAACGACTTGATTGTACAGTGCAGGGAACTAATTTTGTTACATAAACCAGTATCAGCATAAGCATTAGTAGCATCAGGATCGAGCTAGCATCAGCATTTAAAAAACAGCATTACCAGGATCAGCATCAGCAAGCAAAGGATAAAACCAGCATTGACCTACATAAAATCAGCATTATCCTACTAGCATCAGAAAATCAATGAGTTTTAATTCAGTAAAAATTTAATAAAGAAAGAAAGAATATTGGTTAAAGTATTCACATTATTGATACATAGTGAGATATTATGATCAAATAATTGTAAAAGGCACTTTTATTGCTTTAAATGGCAATGCTGAAATTCATTATCTACTTCCGGTAGCATGATGATACTTCCGGTAGCACTGACCTAATTATAAAACAGCATCAGGATATGGATTACTAGCATTAAATCAGCAAGCAAAGGAAGCATTCAAATCAGCAAGCAAAGGAAGCATTCAAATCAGCATTGATGCTGTAACAAAATTAGTTTCCTGCACTGTAGAAAAAAAAAATAAATAAAATGCTCTGTGCGAGGATCGAACCAAAAACTTCACGAGTCCTTTGTGCACTGGACTGGTAACGCATACGACTGAGCTTTTATCACTATACAAATACTCCAGACTGGAATTTAAAATGGCAGAGAAGCAACGCATTTACACACTGTTTTTCTTTCTTTTCTTTTTTTTAAGTTTATTTTTTACTGTCTCTGGGTCTTCTCTCTCCTTTTTTACAAATGTTTGGTCGTTTCTTTGAATACAAATGCACATAAATGTCTTTTTAAAATCGTGGAGAGATGACCCAGAGAAAGCAAATTTTCAGAAAAACGTGTTTAAAAGTGTAACATTTTGTACCAAATGACTCATCTATAGCCATGTTTCAAGTAATTTTTAAGGAAATCAAAACGCACTATAGGAAAAATATTTTTCTTTCCTATTTCATAGGAACATAATACATCAAAAGAATGTAAAAAATTAATTTGACAGTTCAATAACGTTTTCACTTTTCAAGTGCGCCCTGATTCCTGCCGAATGTCAATCAAAAGCGCCCTCGTTCTTTACACAATAATGTCTTAGTGAGCTATATAGCAGTAAAATTAAGTGCTTCCCATGGCTGACTTCGTGGACTGAGACTAAAATTGAATGCAATGCTTAGAATGAAAACAGAGAAAGCTTTGTGGTAATGTTTGAAACTATTATGTAAAAGTTCAGATAAGGAATGAATAAAGTAAATTAAAACTTAACCTTATATTTACTACTTGAAACTACTGTATTGTTTAATTTACGACATTTACCTGTCCATGTACTCATATTCATCAAAATTGTTGTCAGTCATTTTTTCGGGGGGGGGGGGGGGGAGATAGGTAAGTTTAATCCATTTCCCTTCGACAAGACATCTTCCGTCATGAATGTAAATTGTTTCTTTAGTGAATAGATTCTTCTTAATTAAGAGGTCATTGCTACGTTGCAGGGACAGATCCAAGATTTCCATGATGCAAATCACTGCTTATATCTGAATAAAGTAAGATCTTGTTACCAAAAGTCAGAATTTAGATTTTGAATAATCATCTTGTTTTTTATGAAGCAAACATAGTAGTATCTAAAAGATTGCAACTTTGTATAATATTCAATAACGTACACGTGACGAGTATTTTGTTTTCATTTAAATTTAATTATTTCATAATGTATATGAAATTTTAATCTAAGTCTGTACTCAGTCTGGAAACATGGTACACTTTGGCAAGTGAAAAAAAAATCAAGAAAAAATCAAAATGTAAAACTGATCTGCATTTGGGGGTGGAGGGGGGGGGGCGTGTGTTTTTGTTTGTTTGTTTTTTTTTTTTATTTGGGGGGTATTTTGTTCTAGGTACTAGTATTTTTATTTTTTTGGGGGGGGGGTTCTACATGTTGTTGGGGGATTGTATTTTTTTAATTCTAATTAAATATACTATGAAAAAAGGTGATGATAACACAGTGGTCAACCTAAAAAACCTACAAAAATTCAAATCGAACAGGGTACAAACCGGAGGTGGAATCAGGTACCTAGGAGAAGGAAACATCCCCTGTCTTTCGGTCACATCTGTCGTGATCTCTGTATTGATCAGGTAGACGAAATTCCGTAGTCATATTTAGTATATAAGCAAAGGGCTAACAATTGATATGAAATATGTCAATCAAAATACGACCTAGTACTCGATTATATTTGCTAACAAGGTCATTATAACGACCATAGAATTAAGATATCTGGCCCTAAACGAGGTTGTGGAAATCCTTGTAACATTCAACGTATCTGTCAGAAGCCTGTCTCGGTTTAAAAATTGATCGTACTCAAGGCATGCTCTTGAATATCGAATAAGGTGGGAGACATAAATATCATATGCAGGTGATAATATATACATGTTCTGTAAGCAAAATTGACGATGGAAAAGCTGAAGTCATCTCGTCTGTCATAAAATTAAGTGCCCTTTTCGTCTATAGTCAGTAAAACATTCAAATATAAACAGATTTATATGACTCTGTGGTGTTTTTAAATACTAGTTCACTGGGATATATCGAGTTGACATATGAATGGAAGTTACTTGGTGGACAGTTTTACTCACAATACATCAGACTTAATATTTTCCGCCGTACGGAGATTAGCGGAATATAATTGTCTTATAGATTCGGAAATAAGTTATCCAATAAAATTGGAGTATAAAGTCACGTGGTATGAGTCTATGAGAAGTGTTCGAATAGCACGAGAAATTAGCTCTAGCCCGTCTTCCAAAGAAGACACGTCAAACTTTATTAAAATATAATATTAATTATAAGATAGGTACTTGTTTAAGAATTTATTAGAGTCTATTGTATATTATAGGGCAAATTTTTCCTGTGGTTTTTCTTATCAAAAACCGTAAGTTTTTCATCTCTGGTTTTTATCCTGGCCAATCAATTTTCACTCAGTTATACACCATATATATATATATATATATATATATATATATATATATATATATATATATATATATATATATATATATATATATATATATGTATGTATGTATTGTTGTATAATGTGTATTATAGTTGTCGAACGTACTATATTAAACTTCTCCTCCCTGATATGCTTCCTGGGCTAGTCGGCAAATATATTTGCGTGTTTCTTTTGGGAGAGTAGAGAAGACTTAATAAATATATCCATTACCCAACGTTTGATACAAAATACCATAGACTGCTATGCACATGACTGTTGCTGTGTAAGTAACATGTGGACGGGGCGAGAACTTCGTCACAGTATCGTAGAGTAACCTTCCTCCTAGTAAAATATCCACCCGGAAGATCTACTATTTAGAAATCGAGGTACACGTTACACACCTCGAACAAAGGATTTTTGCTGCTACCAAATCACTTGGTATACTCGAAGCCCAAGACTCATCTGTTCATGGTTGGATGACTATGCCATTGTTTGAATAATTATTAAATTTAATATTATCAATGATAGATTTCAATCATGGACACAGGGCAAGGTTACTAACAATGAATGTTGGACCTGATGTGCTAAACAGTCAATAAAATCTACAGAATTAGTAAAGGAAAAAAAATTCTTTCTATTCCCCTGCTTTCTTTCTGAATTAATCAATTTTAGCCAAAATCAACACATTAAAAAATACAATCAAAAAATAAAATCAAAATCAAAATTTAAGAAATGTTTAGTAATTGATTGAATATTTAGATGTACCATTTACACTGATACTTTAACAAGAATATAATTATACTTGTATCTCATCGAAAAAAACTTTACTCAACATCTTGTCTTCAATTTCAATTAACAAATTATAAGAATTATAAAAATGACATGACCATCTTTATACAGTGTTTGAAAACTACTCATTCTAGACCGTCACCTGACCTCTTGCATACAGGTAGAGATACTCCTGAGGGTATAATTATCACATCTGGGCCTTACAAAATGGCAACGTCGCCCGAGTGGCGCAGTTGTTAGAGCGTTCGCTCTAGAGTCGCGGATTTAGGAGTTGATCCTTACGTCGCGGGTTCGAATCCCACTGTGGGACGTGGAGACCGGTTCTTCGGATGAGACCGTATAAACCGAGGTCCGGTGCTAGCACGAAAAGATCCCTCACTGCCCAATGGCCCTAAGTGCCGAGTATAGGTCAAAAATTTGCAGCTCTCCAGCAGCAAGTGATGGCGTCCCCATATGAGTGAAAAATTCTCGAGAGGGACGTTAAACAACAAACAATCAATCAAACAAATAAAATTGCAACAGTCAGGATTATCTTTATCAAATAATAAGAAACAC